ATAATAAAATTAATGTATACAAAATGTGTAGGTAGGTTAAAAAGTCCTTCACAAAAGCCAAATAAAATAATAGCAATAACAGTGAACAGTTTTGGCTTCTGGGATATATGGCCGTGTAGTCCGTTGCAAGTCAACAGATGTTTGGGAGGAACATGTCGCCTCCAATTTCAAGCTCGAAAAATAAGCCAAGCAAAAAAAGGACAGCATGAAGCAGGTAGCAAGCGACATGTTCCTCGGAAACGTCGGTTGACTTTCAATGAATCACACGGCGTTATATCGTACAAGACAGAAATCTTGATAACCACTGTTGTGAGAATATAAAATCCTAAAACAACAAAGCCATTTGATCTGTAGGACTAGATTTCTGTGCAACAAGAAATAAGGTTGCATGAATTGCGCTCAGAATTCTTTGTATTACTATGCTTTCACCTAAACTCAGGTTCTCTGAATGGTATGTCCACTTCGTGTTTTCCAACTGAAAATTTTATATGCATTTTTCATTTCGTGTCTTATATCCACATGTCTCGCTTTATTATTATGGAAACTTCTAAGAATATTTGGTAAAGTGGAACATCATTTAAATCCTGAAATTCATATGAATATTTAAAATGTCAGCTCCCACCCCACAGAAAACACACCGTGTCTCACCAACAGATACAGGCGGTTTAATGCTGTTTAGGGAAACAATAGTAGTTTTTGTTGGAATCACAGGAATCACACAAATATACTATGTGGGCTTATGGAGACTTTAACGTCAATGCAGGTTATACGTATAGTAACTAATGTGATTTATACCGTTAGCCGGAAGTTTCTGTTATTGTGAACTCAGTTATACAGGGTGTTCTAAATTAATCGTGTCAAGTACTTTGGTTCTAATGTCATCACCTACAGCACGCCCTTTCGAGAAATTTATGGCAATGGTTCTTCTAGTATATAGAGCTTCTCAGACCTTAAAATGACGCAATCTTCTTCGTAGAGAAACACGTATCTTTACTCTTCTCAATGGTTACAGGTTACGAGATTTTTATTCGTTACACGCTGTTTGAACTCCACTGTAATAGAACTTTATTAATATTCTCTTCACGTCATGGCAGTCTCGAATCTGTGGCATTTTTACGCGGGATTATTGATAGTATCATTTCGTGAGGGAGAACATGACGTCAGAGGTGGCATAAACCTTGATTTATAGTAATTCCAACCACCAGGGGTCGACAAACATTGGCTCAGCTCACTAGTGAGAGACACAGAACAGGTAACTCTCGATATTCATACATGAGACTTGCTAGGTTCGAATTTAGGCCGAAACATCGGTTATTGTGACTGAAATCTATCGTGGTTTCCTCACATGCTGGGACAGCGCATAAATTAGGCCACAACAAATTCTCTTCCAATTAATTATTCACTAATAATCTTACCATCGACGCTATATAGTCTACGGTACTGACAGAATCGTAAAATAAACAGCAGAAAGATAAAAATGGCTACCTTCCAGACATTTCTCCCCAAGACATGTGGCACCTACCCGTGATGCTTTATTTTTTCCGTATTAACTAACTAACCGACACATAACACGCAGAGGATACAAAATATATATCACCTATGTACAGCATGTCCCAGGAGAAATATGTCAGTATTCTGGGAGGCCATAGTACCGGCCATTCTAAGCAAAAAGTGTATATGTACGTGTGTCCTATCCCTAAAGATTTCCGGGATAGAGCTATTTCACTGTACAGTTCCAAAATTGTTGAGAACAAAGAGTTATTACGCAGTGTTTCTAATACCGGTATTTATTGTTCAAGTAACAAAGTTGGTACAGTTTTTTTTTCCTTGGCACTACAACCCCAGTGGGCCTACATGAACTTCTCCATTCACTTCGGTTTTTCTAGACTCCTTGGGCGGGTAATCAGCTCGTCGCAAGGCCTCTACCTGTACACAAATACAGACAAACGCACACACACAAACTAAACATCCATGCCCTGAGTGGGATTCGAACCCACGATCCCGGTTTCCAAGCGAGCGAAGACAGTACGTGCCTTAGGCCGCTCGGCTACCGTGACCGGCTGTTGGTACAGTTTACCTTGTATAATACATTTTCGAAAATTCCACCGTCAACATCAATTCACTTTGAAACTCGTGTGAGGACATGGCGTGTTTCTCGTCCGTACAGCGTACAGTGTACTGTGTACAGTGAAATAGCCCTATCTCGGAAACCGTTCGGAATAGGACACACGTACATATACAAATTTTTTGCTTAGAATGGCCGATACTATGACCTTCCAGTACAGTGACCTTTCCTCCTGGGACATACTGTATAACACGTGTAGGCATATAAGTCACCATTTGGTATTCAAATTTGATGTTCGACGTAAAAAAGAATGTAAAAATATATAGGAAAACACAGCAGAAGCAATTATACATCAGTGCTTAATGTTCTTGCTCAAGTATTTAATGAAATAAGCTGAAACATTTTAAGTATTTACACATATAAGCTCAAACAGCTGTTTGTACTCCTACGCAAAATTATATTTTAACTATATATATGTATATTAACACAGACCTATAAATTTCGGTTGGAGGAAAATCCGTTTGTTTATTATAGAGAATAAGAGACTATGGTAATCTTCGTGTGTTCCGAAAACCACTGTTCGCTGTCCGGGAACCTCCGCGTGTGTTCCACACAATACTGCTGATTGTTACATTTAAATTTAGACTACTTATCCACAGCGTAGTAATTACTGTCTAATTTTTCCAGGAAGCCTTAAGATTTTTAGCAAGAAATTTGTTAAATACAAAATATGTTATGTACTCTACAAATTTTGTTCGAAATGTTTTTCTCTCCGATACAGTCATCGAGTAATAATGGATACATTCGTAGGGATTAATGTCAAGTGTCCTTTATCTTCATATGATTTTAACTGCAATTTGAACACGTGGACAAATTTAAGTGAAACATCGAAGTATCAAATTTCATGAAAATTCTTTCAGAGGATCTCGCGCTGTTTCAAGCGCACAGACAGACGGACGGATGTAGCGAATTTCATAGGCTATTCGCAGAATTGCGAGCGGGCCTACGGAGTTAGCGGGGTGGGGGGATGCGGGGTCTTTTGGAACCCAAGGCAAGAGAGAAGCGTCCTCTTCTATTTCGTTTTTATTGCCCTCTTCATCTTTTTCTTGCATTTTTCTTCTTCTATCTTCCTCTCGCTCCTCTCTTTCATCTCTGACTTCTCCAGTTCTTCCTATGTTTCTCCTCTTCCCTTCCTCATACTCTTCTTATTATTATTATTCTCATATTCCTCCATTGCTTCTCCTTCTTCTATTCTTATCCCTCTTTTCCTACACTCCTTTGCTCCCATTTTTCATTAGACCATCATTCCCCCCTATTCCTTCTTTCTCTCCTCTTCTCTTATTTTTCATTTGCCCTTCCTTCTCTTTCCCTTCTTCTCCTGTTACTTCTTTCCTTCTCCTGCTTCTCCTTCTATTCCTCCTCTTTCTATCCTGCTATATTTACTTGCTCCCATTCCTTCATTTCGTCCTCTTCTCCTATTCTTTCTTTGCCTCTCTTAGTCTTTTCCTGTCATTCCTTTCCTTCTCATGCTTGTCCTTCTATTCCTAATCTTTCTTTCCTTCCATTTTTACTTTGTTCCTAAATCTTTCCCTCTCCTCTTTCTCCTACCCTTTTCCTGTTTTTCCTTTCCTGCTCCTTCTCTCCATATTCCACCTCTTACTCCAGCGTTTCTTCTTGTGCTGTTCCTTTCCTCACTTCTCTCCCTCCTTATTCTCCCTCTACAGTGTCCTGACCTCCGCAAGTGTGCGTGCAGGCTCTGAAAGTGCTGACCAATAAATCGAAGCTTTTTCCGTCCGTTTCTCTCTGTCCTCTGATCATTTCCCAACAGATGAGTTGGTTTGTCAAGCCCTGCGCATTCATTTCTGCTCCCGTTTGTTCTAGCTTCGTGACACTGCGGTATAAAATAGTGCCATCATCAGGGACATGATCCGTAAGCCGAGATTATACCCCCCCCATTATTCCATCAGCTATAAGCACGGCTTTTCATTCATATAATATGACGTAATGTAGGTCATGGTACTGATAAATTTCAGTATCAAAGCCGTAATTAAAATATATGGACGTGAGACGTGCACTGCTGAAAATCACCTGACCCCACAAAATGTGATCTATAACAATTAACATGGGTTATCTTTTCACCATTATACGCCGAAGAATGTGCCCCATGAAAGAGGCAGTTTCTACTGCAGTAATCTGTCGATGTTTCTAGAATTAGAAGAGTGCAATAGCGTTCTGAAAATGTACTACTATTTAACTTTATAAACATGTAAAATTACAATAATACTATTTACATACATACATTTCTGCCGATTAAGGTGGCCGCGCGATCTAACGCATGAAATGTCTTCGCTCGCTCGAACGCTGGAATCGTGAGTTCGAACCCCACCCAAGGTATTAACGTCTATGTGTATGTTTATTCTGTGTTTATGTTGTCCTGTGTGTAGGTAGCAGCCTTTCCACGGGCTGATCCCCCATCCAAGGAGTCCTACCGTCTGTATAAAATGATTACAAACTGAAGAAGAGGCCAGGACACGAAAAGGGCTGTAGAGCCATTGATTTAATCACTGAATTAAAAAACATACTCACTTTTGTGACGTTATTTCAATTATGAGTTCTATTTAGCAAAAATTTTGTTATAGTATACAGTGCACACTAATCAGAGAGATTAGCAGAAGGGCTTATCAGTGAAATAATCAACACTACGGTGAATAATTCTCTTATAATAAAAAAACAAACATTCTGTTCACACGCAACTACTCACTATAAGGTGACGTCAAGTTCTCATATATACTGAATGAATAAAAACGATCAGTGATTATACACTATAAAACAAAAGTAAATAGGTTTACATGCATAGGAATATGTTTATAGGCGTCTTACTGCATAAAGCTGCTCATGATTCTGAACATTTACTGTGTGAGACTTACATACGTACATGGCTACTTGAACCCGCTCAGAAAGGTTCGTTCTATTGACACGAGAGTCGCTGCTGCAGTCCCCAGGCGCGAAGTTTAGGACCGACATGTTCTCTCGCATCCTGAGGAAGAGAAGAACATCAGTGAAACATGTAAGCACTTTTATGGACTGCCTGGAAGTAAAATGATGTTACAAGAGATATTTTAAAGCGGTTCATTTTCATGCATATTACTCCCGATCGATCTGTAAACGGTATTCCGTATCGGAAACTTCCTGATGCTTGATAGGACACCGGTGCTATCAGAAAGCACTTTGAACTGAATTTTTATGCTTCTGCCGTCAACTTCAATGGTCGATCGACATATACAGAAACGGAATCAGCAACCGTAGAGTTTAATCATTTAATTCAAAAGGACAGCCTTCGAGACGCGGATTCTTGTCGTGTTTCTGGGTGGGTGGTATGCTGCGTTGTCTGTCATACAACATGTTCGGACCTTATAAGGTCATCATCAGGTAGATTTCATACACGGTTGCAGCATTGCATTTCTTCTTTACTTTATTATTCGATTATCATCCGATGAGAGCATGTGGTTTTTCAATTGATCTAATACTTCCAGCCGCACTATGGCCCTGGGGTGGACTCATCCTCTAAAAGAAACGAGTAACAGGAAACTTCTTGGGGGTAAAGGGCATCCGGCCGGAGCGTAAGGCTGACAACCTCACCGCGATCTGTGAGCCGATTTTCTAGAAAATGTGGGAGCCTCAACGTCTCACAACACTATGGGCCTCCACGGCCTGTTACAGGGATAGCTTTACCTTTTTTATTCGATGATCATGTTAAAATTTGGTTAAAATTAGTTTCAGTTATTGTTGAATCTGGTTAAAATTATTTTAAAATTCTTAAATTTTATTTTCTATGAAGAATTTCGTCTTCTGAAATGTGGCGCCGTTTAGATCTCGTGTGAACCAACGTTTCGGAGGAATGTATCGCCTTCATTTTCAGGGTAGAAAAATCAGCGAGCGAGGAACCAGAGTGAACAGGTGGCTAGCAGACTGAAGATAGAGGCGGCACGTTCCTCGGAAACGTTGGTTCACACAAGATCTACAAGGAGCCACATCCCAAAAACGGCCTTCTTCATAATCACCGTTGTTAAAACCTCAAATCTTACACGTATTTTCTATCTTTACTTTTCCGTTGTTTCTGTGGCGTGGATTGTGTCTGTGCTTAGCGATTCTTGTTTCACTTTTGACCAGTTATGTTGTTGATGTTTAGCATGAAATAGATTTGTGTGGATTTAACGTGAATTGTGGGAGGCTACTCTTAAGTAAAAACTATACATCAGTCACAGAAAGACGCCCAGAAGACCGACCGTCTGCACATTTCCCTCGAAAAGTCACGCTTCCTCCTGCAGCGTATTTCTCTAAATTCCCCTTCAGCCGTCTAGCCCAGCGTTACACAAATTGGACGTGGCAGCCTCGTATGTGTGTGTGTTGGGAGGGGATGAAGCTTTCCCCGGAAGCCGAGACAAAAACGAACCGATTTCGAAGAAAATGAATTAGTCCTAATTGATGATTTACTGAAATTGGTAAATCACTTTTTGACTTATCTTTATGTAAAGGGGCAATAAATATTTTACCCACACCGAGAACGTGCGGTAGCGTAGATGGTTGAGGCACTACGTTACAAGCCGGAAGGCCATGGATCCGATTGCCGACGAGGTCACTGGATTTTTCAATTGACCTAATCCTTCCAGCAGGAATGAATGAATGTATAAGGGGTAGGCCTTCTCGGCCCTTGCACCGCGACCTACAGTGCGGAATATGGCCCTGGGGTCGACTCAGCCTCTAACAGAAAATACTACAAGGATTCTTCCTGGGGGTAAATTTTCACTTAGTGGGGGGTGGAGTCCAAGAGGGTCCACTCGGCACGGCGGCCACTGATTAGCCTATTGTACCTGCCCCGGATGATTATGACGATGGAGAATTTGGTGGAATGAAGACTGGCAGGGGAAACCGAAGTACTCGGAGAAAACCAGACCCAGCGCCACTTTGTCCACCACAAATCCCACTTGACCAGACCCGGGATCGAACCCGAACCGCCGCGGTGGGAAGCCAACGACTAACCGCTTGAGCTATGGCGTGGCCTCTTCCTGGGAGTAAAATGCGGCCGGCCGAGGCTTAAAGCTGACAACCTCACCGCCAACTCTTAGCCGATTGTCTAGAAAATTTGGGGGCCTCGACGTCTCACAAGCCTATGGGTCTCCACGTCCTGTTACAGGGATAGCTTTACCTTTATTAGCCGTATTGAGTAAGCCTCCGACTAAGAGATTTTGGAGGGGGGCACTTGGCTTCGTCTTCGACCCTGAAGATGGAGGCAATATGTTCCTAAGTAAGGTCTGTGACCTTTGAGAAGACTTCACAACGGCATATCCGAATAAGCAGTACAGTCCATGATCACAGCAATGATGACCTTAAATCTAACGATTTTCTATCGTCTCTTAGACTCAATCTTCCTTCGGGAACGCTGTCCTAAGTAGAATCTCGACCAAATTTAATCTAATTTCATCCAGTTCATATGGTGCACTTCTGTTACTGTTTCCATCCTATTTCGTGATCAGAACATAAAAAAATTTGGGGGGGGGGACATAATCAGCCCCTTGTATGTAAGGGCAGCATCTAAGTGGGGTGTTAGGGCGGCTTAGGAACAAGCAATTTAGATGTCACGACTATTTTCACCCTCCATAATTTACGTGCCATTTACTTAAAGTAACGAGACTCGCATTCCCTGTCAGCGAAGCTATACCATCACGGTCATTGGATAGAAGATATGAAACTTAAATAATAGGACTGAATAGGAGATATGACAGTCAAATAACCAGAATGACAACGTAAATTGGATAGGTAAATGTAAAGGTAAAACTATTTCTGTAATAGGCTGTGAAGGACCATAGGGTTGTCAAACGTTGAGGCTAGACACTCGGCGGTAAGGTTGTCAGCCTTACGCGCCGGCCGATTTTACCCTCAGGAAGAATCCTGGTACTATTTTCTGTTAGAGGCTGAGTCGACCCCAGGACCGTAGTGCGGCTGGAAGGATTAGGTCAATTGAAAAAAGTCCATCTCATCGGGATTCGAACCCATGACCTCCAGACTTGTAGCATAGTGCCTCAACCAACTACGATACCGCCTGCCCCCAAATTGGATAGGAGTAACAGTTAAATATCTGAATCCACACGATAAACTATATAAGAGACATGATAGTTATTTGCCCGCGCTGAGTACAACGGATAGAAGGCGACAGCTGAGTAACCGGATTAGTAAGATATGAGATGGCACTTAAATAACCGGAGTGATGTGGGTGGACAGGAGATATGACAACTGGCCTCAGTATGACGAAAAGCGCATGGTAAAGGGAACCGACGGGCCGGTCACGGTAGCCGAGTGGTCTAAGGAGTGCATTGTCTTCGCTCGTTCGGAAGCCGGGATCGTGGGTTCGAATCCCACTCAGGGCATGGATGTTTGTGTGCGTTTTACTGTGTTTCTGACCACCCGCCCAAGTAGCTCTACCGAACGTGTAAGATCTAGAAAAACAGAAGTGAACGGAGAAGTTCATGGAGGCAGGCCTAGGCCCACTGGGGCTGTAGTGTCAGGGGGGGGGAAAGGGAACCGACAATGTGACTTGCGTTATTTTGGGGCACGATACTCTAAATTCGACCACGAAACCAGATACGCATTCCCTGCTTCGTTTGAACCGTTATATACTTACTTATGTACGGTTTATTTATCGGCTCAGTGCTTCAGACTCTATAGCGTCGAATAATGAATGGAAAGGACTGAGAAGGAAGCCTCAGTGGTTTAATTTCAGGTAGTATCATAAAATTTATGCAGAGGGATCTAGGAAAACCATGACAAACTCAGACAGGACATACGATCCCCCGGCCGAGATCTGAACTGAGACCTCTCGAATAGGGAGCCGAATGCTATCCAGTCGAACGCGACTTTCGGTTTTTAACATTTCTCCATACATACCTCCATTTTAGAGCCATCTATGTATGTGCGTGTGTGTAAGGGGTGGGCCATAAAAACCGGCCCTTGCAGTGCGACCTTCAATGATCTATTGTGCTTCTTTTGGATTAACCCTTTATTATTCCTACTTCGAATGAAATGTAGGACTTTATTTATGGGGGCATCATAATAGTCATTTGGTTCCATGAAGATGGTCCCAGGTGATGAAATTTTAAATAAGCTATGTCCTCACACTCACACAGGATATGTGTGACTGATTCATCTTCTTGTAGGCACCTTTCACAGGTTCGGCCATCTATCAGTCCCCGTTTGAAAAGGTGTCTGGAGCCATCTACAGAGAAATGTTAAAATATTTCGTGTGAAGTCTTGATGCAAACAAAGGACACTCGAATTTAGAGCAAGTTTAATGGTACTATTTTCTGGAATGGGACGCCATGTAGTCCAGTAGAAGTTCACCGATGTTTCGGAGGAAAGTACTGTTCTATATTTAAGGTTGAAAATATGCTAAGCTAGAAGAAAACTTACTCAATTTGTTGAATGCTTCTTGATCGTTGCTTGGTTGATTTTCAAACCTAGAGTGCATTCCTCTGAAACGTCGGTGAACTTCTATCGGATTTCACGGCGTCACATCTTATAATTATTACTTTTCATAGTCACGACTGGGAGAGTAACAGATACAAATTATGACAATACTTTGACGCATACACAAAAATGGCAAATTTTGTTGAGGTAAAGGTGAACTATTGCCGATCACAGTGGCCGCGGGGTCTAAAACATGAACCGCCTTCGCCCGCTCGAACGTTGGGATCTCGAATCCCACTCGAGGCATGGATGTGTGTGTGTGTTTATCCTGTGTGTAGGTAGCGGCCTTGCGACAGGCTGATCTCCCGTCCAAGGAGTTCTACCGACTGTGTATATATTAAGAGACTGATAGAGCGGCCGATGTCCACAAGGGCTTTACAGCCACAGATAGACAAAGGTGAAGTTACTCCTGGACTTTAATTAATTAAGCACCATGTTATGAAGACGTATGGGGTAGTGGAGAAATAGTTATAACATTATTAACGTCGTCACTATGAGGAGGAATACTCTATTAAG